TTTTTTTCCGATAGCCACGGTGTGCAAGCGATAACTTCGCAACAGCGACGTGGCACATCCAGTGATCAAGGTACGGTCATTTCTTCACTTGTTTGTTTACCTTCTATTTCAAGTGACAGTTACAAATAACCCTTCAGTTGGTTAGAATTTCTTTGAAAGGCTAATTAAGCTAAAAAGGAGCGTCATTTGCGAATGGCGGTTTTTACAATTGGCAAACTCCCCACGGAAAACCTCAAAAAACGGGGAACAACATTTTTCGAGACCAAAATCTGCAAAAAATTTCACTTATTTGTATTCAGGAAACCGGGTAGATAATATTAAGATAGCATCTCCCTTTTATGTTTTATGATTATGGTCGAGATCTAAGAAAAATATATTTTAATCTGATCATTATGACAGGTGGCAACTCGAAATTCAAGTTACACACACCACGCACACAATTGGAATGCAAGATTTGCAGTATTTTTTGCGTTATTGTGCTGTTTTCCGATTTCGGTTTAATAAAAATTAAAAGAAAACCTCGTACCGTCACTTTTAATTAGATATAATTGGAGTAGTGACATTGTGAACTGCAGGCAAATCATGGCACTCTTTAATCTTTCGTTCAGTTTTTGTCTCGTGTTACTGTAACGTACGTCACGGAACACGAGAATATGGTGTGGGTAGCTTTGGCGCAGGGAAGTACTTCGTGTAAGATCTCACGTGAGGTTACGAAGCGACAAGTGAACAAGGTTAAAACAATGAATATATATTTATGGTAAATTTGTGGTATATTATATGTGTTCTTGCTCGAAGAAAAGTTTTTAGTTATTGATTTTAAATGCGAGTGACAATGTATTGAGTTAATTCTAGCTACACTCGGTTGTGGCTGCTTGGTTTTTCTTTGTAATAAAGCCAAAAATGTCAAGAATGTGATTAACAGATTTTATCAAAGTGAATTAAAAAACTGGAGTAACAATCTTTCTTCAGGACACATGGAATGTTCTTTTCTCTAATCAGTTGCAGCATTTCACTCTAATTAAAATCTTTGAAAAAGCCGCAAGTATATCGTGTTGTGAATCACGCTACAAGATCCTACAATATAACGCAACTTCTATAGAGCGACAAGAACAGTTTCAATTTCACTTTTTAGTGAATGAATGAAATTCTAAAGAGGAATAATGTATGTGGGGTGAAGAGTCTGTAGTAAATGTTTCTTTAAATTAGGTGTACGCTTTTCAATTTTCGATATCTCTGACACCGAGTACACTGATTTTTTTCTTTTATAAGAACGTTGAGGCTGAGATTTGCCCCAAAATTTAAGAAAATGTATGGGCTAAAATAAGAGCATCCTCAGGCTCAGCCAAATTTCACGCATTCTCATAAAAGAAGAGTGTATACTGCAGCCGGCGAAGTCGCCAGCAAGCAATAAGAAGACACAGAAAGTGTTCAATGTTTAAATAAAGTGATCTCTTTTGGGATCAAATTGCGTAGAAGATAAGTAATACTTACTTTTCAGAGGATACCGAAGATTTCCTAAAGACTTTCGATCAGCGTGACTGTGACTGTATGTATTTGTTACTAACAAATATACTGAGTTAAATCATCGTTCGAGAGGGGATAACACAAATGTGTTATTCATCGTACGCGACTTCTTCATTTAAGTGGCTTCTTCCAAAAGTGATACGGCAGTTCACATAAAGGTTACAATAACCTTCAAATTTGTTGGGGTAGGGGGGGAACAATGATACACATCCTTTATAAATAATCAACAGTCAGCAATGCAAGTTTAATTTCACTTTTCACTATTTTCACGATCCCATAATACACTTTGTTTACCCCCCCCAAACATTTTGCATAAGCATTGTTTTCAATTTCTCTATAAATGATTGTACATCATTGTAAATGTCAAGAGAAATAGAAAACAATGCTTATGCATCAATTATGCAAAAATTTTGGGGGGTAAACAAAGTGTATTATGGGAACGGTGAAAACAGCGAATTTGTCATTCTATACTACTCGGAAACAATGGTTTTTAACATCCTTGCGAAAACTTTGTCTTACGAGAATCGTTTGAAATTTTTCAATTAGAATCCTTCTCGGAGACTGATACTTCAGAAAACGAGATGGAGAAGAGATTAGTACTTTATTATGTTAGTTATAAGTTCCCAAAGTAACTGTCGGAGCTTATAAGAGGTCCCATAAAGCTTTCGGTCGTACAGTTCAGGACCTGGTTAATTAAATTCCGCACTTTAGGAAGAATTTCTGGAAGGAAAAATGTCGCCACTGTGAGCGTCATTGAAAATAACTTTATTTATACGCAGAGTATTCTTATTAATTTGCCATTTCATTGCTACAATTTTCATAGTCCTCCAAAGTTGTTATTCTTAGTTTGTTTACATCTGCTTAGTAAAAATTTACGTTCGTTTCCTAGCATTTTCGATTGGGATGCAATATCTCAAAAACGACAAGGAAAAAGAAGAGCTATGGATATGACAGGTAAGAATTCAAATAATCTAGGGCTTGTATACAACAGTCTACAGCAGTCTCAACTGGAAAATTTAGATTTAAACATTGTATTACTGTGAGATAACACTAAAAATGTCTTAATTAAATATCCTTTTCTTTCTTTCTTTTATTTAAGAGCTTGGAGAGCAACCGATTAGCCTTTCAAAGAGTGAAGATTATCCTCCTTTTAAGACAAGCGGAATTGGAACCAGCAGAAGTAATCCCATAACGATTGAATCCTCTCCGGTTAAAAAGCCCTTAGTCGATAGATCAAGAGATATTGTCAATATCGACGGCTCACCTGTGCGATCCAAATATAAATTAGGTTACGCTGGTTATGGGTTGACCTTAGCTAAGATGCGAGCTGGTAGTTCTATCAAGTCTGTGAAATTAGAAATGAGTCGCGAGTGTCTCGAAATAAAAACAGACAAAGGAAGTGATTCGTCTAGTGTAGAAAGCAGAGAGAGCGACGAAAGCGACCAGTCGGAGGATGAGGTTCGATATTACAATGACGATCCTCAATTTCCCATGCTCAGCACCGCAAGGCGAAGGTTTGAAGCGGGAGAAGTTTTACATGAATTTTCAAAGAACCGTGCAAACGATATGAAGTGTCAGTGCCAACCTATGCGGGTTCAGCGGAATGCTGCTTTTCTTATCGACTCACGATTCGTGCCGTTAGATGACTTACCTGCAGATGGTAATGGGTCCTATGTTTACAAAGGGCGTTTGACACATACTTATAGACAGAAGGCAAATGGTAAATGGAAAACGAGAAGTTCAAAACGTTCAGGAATCGTAAGGGAATCTGATGTCCATTTTATCAGAGAGTATCGGCACCACAAGGATAGCCCTGATTTTCGCCAAATCATTTTCTACGCCAGGGATCAAGCGGGTGAGATTTTAAATAACACGATTCTGTTACAGTATCAGTTTAACGGCAAGGAGCATCCCATTAAAGCTCTACCGCACGGAAACTCCAAATCAGGGAAAACATTTACTCGGACCAAGTCATCTGTTAAACGAGCTCTAGGCGAAAATTTAAAGAATTTGCCGACCAGCGAAGCGGTTGCGAAAACGAGGAAAGATTTAGGTGGTCCCCTTAAATCGTCTTCTGATGCAGACATTCCAAGGGGAAGAGCACAGGCGTACGATATGAAAAGAGAACGTTCTAAGACGTCGTGCTCTGAACCCAAAAGAAAGCAAATCGACGAAATGACCACCTTTAACTGGTATGCAAAGACCGATGGCAAGAACTTTGTGCGAATGCAAGAACTGTCAGGTGAACCCTTAATAGTGCTTGCAACGGATAAACAGTTGGCGGACTTGTCGAGGTTCTGTACGAGCCACCTTGATTTCACATACCTTTCTGTTGATCCAACATTTAATTTTGGAGACTTTAGTGTCACTCCCACTTCATACAGAAACCTTCTGCTGAAAACAAGGAACACGAATAAGTGTCCAGTATTTGTCGGTCCAATTTTCATTCACCACAGCAAGAAGAAAGACACGTACACGCAGTTTTTCTCGAAATTGAGAAGTCTTGCCCCGCAGTTAGAAAACCTAATAGCTTTTGGCACAGATGGGGAGACTGCTCTCGCTGAAGCCCTATCCGAGAATTTTCCACAAGCTATT